TAGAATAAATAATGTTATTCCTTTTTCTGTGAGATATCAGGTTCCAACTTCATCCCGTCCACCGCAAACTCCTTACTAAAGCTGAAGCGCCATATTTATACGGGCTGCTTTTGTAGCGGGAGAGGTGAACAAGAATACTCATAATGTGTGTAGGTGCATGCGTGCGCAGTCAAGACTAAAAGTTTCAAATCACATACAAGTACCATAATATAGTATAGTAAAGTTGTAAGCAAATACCAAAATAATGGTACTGATTCTCGAGGAAATCGAAATTTGCATTCATTGCGTAAGATATGCGGTTGAAAGGCTCGAGTCTATCCGTTACATTCTACGTGCACTATTATTGCGTTTGCTACAATACGAATTAATGGGAGAGCAAAGGTGGCTGCGTCGCTAGCGGTTAATGTTATAAATAAAGTTGTAATAACCAGTATTTCTCGATATTACGAGAGTTCGTGTACAAACGATACACTTAATAAAATACACACAAATAAGCAAGAATTAAATTCTTCATACATACATAAGAAGTATTATTAAATGGCGAAATAAACTAAGTAACTTTCTATTTTTCGGTTCTATTTTACTTAACGCATTAGGTTATTGAAACTCTAAGGAAAGGTTTTCCCTACTTTAAAATGGAAGGCTTAGTCAGTTATAAAAACCTAACTATTTCCACTAATACTATCAGTACAAAGGCAATGCTTGAGTGTTTAAATTACGAAGTTTACGAATTCATGCTTGTTTTAACTGATTCAAATCTGTATCTATATATATAAAAGAAAGTTGTGTTAGTTACACTATTTATAACTCAAGAACGGCTTTACCGATATGGCTGAAAATTGGTGAGGAGGTAGCTTAGAGCCAGGGGACGGACATAGGATACTATTTATTCGTTTTTTTTTTTGTATCGGCGTCGATCACCAGATGACAACGGTGGAACTGTCACAACAAAAGTGAAAAGAATGGATTTCGTTGTCGACAACAGTTGGATTGTTCCATATTCGCCACTTATTTCTAAAACGTTAAAGACACATTGCAACGTTGAGTATTGGTCGGAAGATCATCAGCGTTGTTTGTTTTTGCGCCTGATAAGAAAACAAAAAATGTCGTGTATCACAAGGTACTTAAGTGAAGAGCAACCTATGTACTGAAATGCAGAAACAATAATAAATGATTAATGTACTTCATTTTTTTTTTCTGAGAAATAAATTAACTTACTAAATTCGAAAATCGGCTTATTTATTGCCTTTAAGGCGGAACAGAGTTCGCCGGGTCAGCTAGTAATATAATAATAATAACTTTACACATCTCACACACGGCCGTCTGATCCCAAACTAGGCAGAGCCTGTGCTATGGTAACCAGAGTCCAGACTGCTGATAAACATACTTATATATTTCTAAATACATACATATTATAGATAATTTGCTATGTATAATATAATTTGTTATGTATGATAAAGTATTGTTTATTTACACGACAATGGTTTATTGTAAATTGTTTTACTTGTAAATAGATATATTAATTTGATTGAATTTAAATTTTACTACAAATTTTAAAATCGAATTAGTCAAATTAGAAGCATCTTAGAAGATGCATGCCTCAGAAAGCAGTCGTCTTTAAAAGTGTTTCACACGATCGACAATCGATGGTACCGGCCTAGGGAGTGAAAGTGGTCACTACAAGCGAACTTTCGTTATCTGTATAACTGCCGGGAATGGCCTAATATTTACAAGCGTCGCGTCGTGATCGAATGGGTAGTCATTTTCTCACGATCTCTGAGTCTAGCCTAGACTGATCATAAAATTGCTTTATATAATTTTATTCACAAAACAATGAAATCTATTTGTCGTGAGCATAACGTTGCACAATATCAAAAGTCAATTTGCAAAACATACTTAATGCTTATTGAAAGTTTTGTTTACATACTATATTTAGTGACATTCTTTATAGTTTTGAATTATTTTATTTTTACAGAATACATTACAGAATAATCTAAGGAAATAAACTTTGACCATAATATAGTATTATAATACTGTGTACAAGATTCTTCACAGATCGTGACATGCAGAGTTGTACCGTATTGTGTCAATATTCTTGTTTAATTTATTGTTTAATTTATATGTATGTGTATACAGACCTCCTTCAGCTATGTATGATTGTTTTGAACATGTTATGGATGAAGTATTAGTTAAAGTAATAAGATCGAAAAAGAAGGTGATCATCTGTGTCCAAGTTCAAGGCACTGTTTCAATCATACAATCTGAAGAACTTGTTCTTGGAGCCTACACGAATCACTGCAACCACTGCTACATGTTTGGACAAAATATTTACAGACATTGTAATTAAGAATAAGATAATAATCAATCAATTACATTCTGACCTCTGTGGTCAATTAGTATCTTCCTGTGATAGGTATAAAAAGGATAAGGTAAGGATAAACTTAAAGCTACTTTTAATAGTTCAGTACTCTGTGTAGAGAATAACCTAAAACTTATTATAATAGCTTTTTTGAAACTTTTTCTTCAAAATTTAACACCTTTTTTATACCAAAAACGCTAGTGGTTAAAGGTTAGTGAATAAAAAGAAATTCTAAAACTAAAAAACTCAAAAGTAGGAAAAGATTATACGAGCTATACAATGAGAGGAATTATAATAGAAGTGAACAGTTTCATAATTATGTTAAAGGATATTCGAAGCTGTATAGGAAACTTTGTAAATTGGCTAAGTCTCGTTTAATAAGTTCAAAGATTAAAAGTGGCAATGATAAGATTATTGGAAAATTATTAACAGTGAAACTGCCAAAAATAAATACCGTGATAATGAATTTAATTTGAATATAAACAATAAATTTATCACATAAGTTCTGAGGTTGCTGATGCATTTGAGATTTTTTTACTAACATTTCTGTATCAACTACTTAATCTTTGAACTCCTCACCATGCCTTGCAGAATCAATTTTAAAAGAGAATGTTAGTAGGATTAATTTTTTTTTATGACAGTTAATCTTTTTATTTTTTAATATTCCTTAAAGAAAGAAAAAATACTGACTTATTTCTTTTTGCTATTAAAAACCGTCCAATTTATTAAGTTAACCACAAGTTTTTTTTTCTTAATGTTGTTTTGTCTTTATTGTCTATCCATAATAACGGACATACTGGCACACATCAAGACAATGTATATTTAATAATGCCGTTGTATCTATCTGTAAATTGCAAAAGAGTGGCCATGAGTTTGTTTGCCATTTCTTCTAATAAGGCTAAACCCCTTGGAAAGAGGCGGTAGTAGATCGGCACAGGCATATCATAGATTTTGTATAAGTTTAATTGTTATTACATTTATTTGCTTACTATCTGACAAAACAGAGATTGTTGTTATTGTGTGTGTTGATTTATGACCTTAGAGTCTACATAAAAGACGATTTCAAACAATTTTATAAATTTTATGAAATAAAGCGAGTTTGAGTTGAATTGAGTTAATACCTGAGTGTATTAATTTTGCATGTATAATTTGCATTATACAAAAATGACATTTCGTTAATAAAGTTTGATACATACTGGTTTTAAATATGAGGAATGTTTATGTATCTTAAAATTTGAACAAGGTTTCCTTTTGTTTGACAATACAATACAATACCTAATTAAAATACTTTTAGAAGCTGTTCAAAAGTAACTGTAAAAAGTGTAAGGTATCAAAACAAAGGTTTATATGAATAGAAAAACACTTCACGTTCTTCGATTCCCGTTCAGTGCAAAAGTTTGGGTTTTTCTATGGATTTTTAAATGTATAATATCTATCCATTAACAAAAAAAGCAATGTACGTTTGTTCGTGTTCTAGAATCTAAAGTACAAGCCCTTAATTTGGGTCTAGATAACAATGTGTAATATTTCCCAGGATATACATATACAGGATATACATACATATAAAGCTTATAAACAATGCCCATGATGTCAGTTAAATAGTGACAACATTCTGGGAACAGTAGTAACAGTGCCTCAAAAATCTTAGATATCAGAAGACTAATATTAATAATAATCAAAAGATACTTGAACTGTTGGATGGACTCATTCCAATACGATTCTGGTGTGACATTCTCACAGACAGATTATATGAATATCATTTCAAATTATAAATATAATATTTTCTGGGGGGCGCAGTGACTCGTGTGAGAAATAGGAGACCAGATATCGCATTTATTTTTTAATATACCTACCTTTTACCTCTAGAAACGTGTTGTTTAAATATAACATAGCACTGTTTTATAAAGGTAAAAACAAGTATCATTGAGGTTATATGTATAAAATTGTTAAAAACCATTTTTTGTCTGCTCTGATCTTGAATGTACAACCTGTATTAAGTGTTTTATTACAAATGAGCAAAAAGTAGGTATAGTCAAAACATCTTGACCTTTTCGATAATCAATGTATTAAAACGACATTTTCTTAATTAAAAATACTCCCACATTTTTAACGTACATAATTATAATTACAATAATAAAAATAACATCAGCAACATCTTTAGGTAAATGATGTGATCGTGGTTTCATTTGATGATTTAATCAATATATTGGCTGTCCAATTTCGACTCTTTTAATTGTCTTGTTTTATTTGTATTACGAGTAGCAGTAGGTATACTTGAACTGTCATTATATAGAAATTTGTACAATGACATGTCAATGAACAGGGCTGGTGTCGCCGCCGACGTCCTCTACGCGCGGGATCAGCCCTTTCCCGATAACTACGTAGTACCTACCATTGATGAAGTGAACATATAACTTGATTATTATATTAAAGTTACATACAATATTTAAAAAGGCACATAAGGTACGAAAGAGAAAAAAACCCTACTTCTATCTTTCATTATTGCATTTTTTGCTAATGATGTTTATTTTCTGGAATTAACTTGTGACATCGTACATCATTTTTAAGCTATATCGAAAATCGTCTAAAAATATTGACGAATACAATATTGACGTGTAATTTATATTGTTTTTTTTTTCAGGGAAACCTGGTACAGACTACCCCGTGCTGGGAGCAGTGCCATATACCAACTTCTATTGCGATGAGCAGGCGTATCCTGGTTTTTTTGCCGATATGGAGACGCGCTGTCAAGGTAATCATTGCTTATCATTATTCATGTAGGTTTTAAAGACTTAAGGATAAACTGTTATTTGCCAAAGCCCAGAACAAACTGAGTTATATTAAATGACGGCAAATATTTTTAACGGTATGTAAAGGTACCGTCAAATTTCTTTTTTTGTTGGTCACAGTTGAAAGATTACTTTTTAATTCATGTTAGTGCTTGATATCTAGAACGAGGTATCGCGACGCGGTAATGCGTGAATGAAATATTTGATGTTGCAGCGTATGTAGGCACAGGTAAAAACTTACTATCAGCCAGTGGGCGTTATTACCAACTAAGTAACACAATAGTATAAATATTGTTTTATATTTATTTATTTAAAAATCTTTAGTGGGTAATAATAATAGATTTCATATAAGCATCTACTTATACTTGTAGAGTTCAACAAAATGATCAAAAGATCTTTCTAACTTAAAACAACATATGTCGGCAATAAGAAAATAAAAAGAGGGCGGCGTGTAAACTGACAATAAAATAGAATAATCTGAGAATCTTATAATTCACCTGGTCGACACAGTTTTTATTAAAAATGCACGTGTTTCAGCGTATTTGCAATTTTACAGGACAATGTTAGGACAAAAAGTAACAACAGCAGGAATTATAAACTGATCTTAATTTGCCTGTATCTATTATGAAACTTCTTAACTTGTTGTTCAATGAAGTACCTGCGATTACTTGCATAAGGTTTGAGTAATATCTTTCAAGCTTAAAGTACTTAAATTTAAATATGATTTATATTTTCATATGAGTCCTTAGGCTTTAAGAAACCTGTTGAAGTTTCGTTTTGAAATGTAACAAATAAGTTTTCGCAAGGCATTATTGTGTTCTATTGTGTATCCGTAATCTGATAATAAATCACATGATCAGAGTAGGTGTTGGTACCTAATCTTTATACGCAGAATCTTCTATCATTTGTCAGACAGCACAGAAAAAAACAGTCACAATTAATTATACAGTAGGTGTTCTTCTTAGAGTCTATTGCGTGAGCTCTTCTCCTGTTCCATTTGCTAAGACCTTGGCCGTGCCGTAATGATTTATGACTGACCTTATACTACCATGAAATCATATAATTATATCGCAAAGTAACCCGGAAGATGATCTGACTTAAAATGATTATAAAAATCGTGAGGTCCGCCACTAAATGATATCAGTGTATGATTCAACTGCCTACTTAAATAAGTAGTAGGTGCCGAAGTTTTTTTTTGGTATATAGCTTTATTTTTACAACTTTAGTAACTAGTACTTATTGTATTATAAAAAATGGTCATTATAAAGTTGTAGTCATCTCTAGATGGCATTTTAAGCATAATGTCTGATCTAGGTCAAGCCCGTTCTTCAGGTTATAGAGCTACCATACAAAGGCATCATACTACTTTAAATTAATCAACTTTATATAATAACTAATACATATTAATAATATTTTTTATAATTTCTAGCTTGTTTTGAATAAAAACTTGAAATCTTATGAAGCATAATAAGAATTAAACGATTTATAATGGAAATAATACCAAAAGTCTAGTTTATATGAATAAATGAAAGTATAATTTTTGGTTAAAGAAGAAACAATTTGGGAACATGTCCAAAATAAGAAAAAAGTGGTTTGTGATGAAACCTGTTTATTGGATAGTAAACATCTAAGTGTTGTTACATATACATATATTCTGTAAAGCTTCCGCAATAAACGTAAACTGCTTTTGGTAATAAATGCCAAAAACATGTATGATTTGATTGTTATTTCTGGTGAAGTTTTAAGTTGTTAGGTTAATTGAATACCGATTACTTGTTTTTATTTTACATTAATAACTGATACTGGTATATTCTTTCTTAAACGGCTTCACCTACAGTGGTAAAAGATTCTTCTAAGGAAATGGTACTTATAAAGAATTCCAGTTGCAGTAAATTCAAATATTTCCGCGTTCAAACATTCTTTTAAATGAGCCTAACTGCATTGCAAAGTATAATTGATTATACTGATTGGTAATTGTTATTTGTATGTGTAACACATGGTTTGGCAAAAGCATATCAAATTTTCGGTAACAGATGAGAGTAATGGGTGTAAAAGAGTGCTCGAAAGAACACTTTTCAAACATCTCCGAAGGTTAGATACTATAGTAATGATCGCGTTTTATGTACCTCTGCTATCAGTATAGTTATAGGTTATTACCTATAGTATAGTAATCTATATTGATAGCAGGGGGAACCACACACCATCTATAGATGCTGAGTGGTTTCCCTTTTTTCGAGTTCGATATAAGTAGTAGGTAGTCTCAATGGGTGGTTGCAATCCGAATTTCTAACCGTGAAAACATATAACGAATATATATATAGTATCGTGTATAAGTGTTTACGTATTGTGTTTGTTAATTAACTATCACCGATTTAAAATTATTAGTTTTTGAAGTTTTAAAAGTACCTTTAATGTTTTGGTAGTCCAGTGATCATTTTTTCCCTACGGCATGGCAGTCGTAATCCCATTACACTCAATGTGACCCTTTTGTTATGTTATGAAATATTTTAGCATAGGGGAAATATATTTTCTTTAACCTTAATAAATGGCCATATTTTACTAAAAGACAGATGAGCGATATGTTATGTGTACATATGCATACAGGCATAAACACTTCTAAAATAAGCATTTAGCTCACTTTAAGAATACTTACCTACTTGGAATGTGCCAGACACGTCGTTTATGATTAAAAACTACAAAAATCACCTTACCCGTCTATTGATACAATAATGTTGCGCCTTGGGATTGAGTAGTTCTTGTGCTATGTCTGGACGACAGCGCCATCTTGTATCAAGTGGGGCACAACGAACACTACGCATTGAAGTTCTGGTTCTTGATTCCGATACTTGCAGTGCCATCTAGTGTCGAATATCGGAAGATTATAGAAATTTGTAAATTCCTCAGTGTACCTGGTTCTGTCTGAAATATTCCATCGAATCCTCGGGATTAGTATAGTAATTTCGATAGCCCTATAAAAGAGGAGCGTGTTAGCCGTACGGGGACAGTATTGTTTTACGACACAGCGAATTAACATCGAAGCGAATTTCTAGTGCGACTAACGAGTTATATTTGTTATAATATAGTGATTTCACGTTTGTAATTACAGTGCGATAAAAGTAATTAACCGACTATTTTTTTTTTAATTCCATTCCCTACTCGTAACAATAATAAAATTGATTTCAAAGCAAAATGATTCTAGATGAATTTTAAATTGGATTATTTAAAGGACACAGGTTCCTGTAAAGTTATTTATTCATGTTACAACCATAAACATAACGATGGAAAACAGAATAGGTTCTAGTAACAAATAGCAAATACGAATACTATACGAATAGTATGTATTCGTTAACACTAATTTTGTTTTTTGAATTAGACAAATGTGATCGGTATGAATTGCAAGTAAGTATTTCTCTTGAAAACAGGACTCAATCACGTACTCACAATGGTTTTACATGTATATTTTTCTTGATCTTGAGTACACGCAATATATGTACATTTAGGTGCTACGAGTACATACGTACCATAGCACATGTGATTAATGTTTAATATAATATATAACCTTACACATCTCACACACGGCCGTTTAATCCCAACCTAGGCAAAACCTGTATTATGGTAACCAGACTATTGATAAAGATACTAAAATACTTCTAAATACTTACATATTATAGATTAATTACACACAGGCATAAAGCAAATGATCGTGCTCATCACTGAATTATATCTTGTCCTGGGTGGGAATCCAACCCACGACCTCTAGCTTAGGAGTCAGGATCACTAACCACTTGCTAGACCAGGCCTATCAAGTGTTATGTTTGGTCAAAAAATATTTATTTTTCCCAATAATACTTATAATAATCACATAATCCTATAATTACGACCGAGGTATAAATAAAGTTGTCGGTAAATTACTAAAATTGCACTGTATTTACAAAAACTCACTATTACAACAAAAAATTACTATATAACTCTTTAGTCACACTAGAAATTCAATTCGATGTTAATTCGCTGTGTCGTAAAACGATATTATCCCATACGGCCAACACGCTCCGCTTTCATATTGCTATCGAATTTACTAGAGTGATCCCTAGTATTCGATAGTCTGTTCCAGACAAATAAGAATATTCCACTATCAGTTAAGCATTACTTTTAGCGCTGTAAGTATCAGAATTTTTAATCACAATCTCAATAGTTGTACTCTACCTGATACTAGATGGCGCTGTCCTCCACATTCCATATAATTCTGGAACAATCGAACCATTTAATCCTATGGCGCAACACTATTTTATCCATTAATTTGGTTTCTAATACTTAAAAAGTGTCGTTTCTGGTCAACATATTATAATAACGCCACTTTTAATTTGTTTTATTTATTTTGAACCAAATGTTAATGCGATAACAGTTAGCCCAGATGTCTTAGTATCTTGTAAATGTAAAAGGTTCTAACGTTTTCCTTTTACTTTTTTTGTTGTTGATACGTCTGCACCGTCACGGATCTCGAACACTAATAGGAGAATCTATTTTCGTTTTTTTTATCCTGAATTCGCTTACTAATTATTGGATAGGATAAGATTAGGTTATATATGGATTAGTGATTTACTGCTCACATCATGTAACAAACTTTGTCAGAAAAATGAACAAACTTTATCTTCTGAAGCTGAAGTACGCCGATTTAAAGTGAACTAAGTGAAATAAAATTATAGGTACTTCAGAAAATTTATTAGTCTCATAATCTTAACAGCAGGTCTCTATAAAGTGAATAGCGAATATAGAATAGCCTTAATTACTGTTAATATTTTTTTACATCTGTTTCAGCATGGCATTACTGCGACATCGACGGTCGCCAGGCGTCATTCCTGTGCCCCAACGGGACCGTGTTTTCGCAAGGAGTAGCATCTTGTGACTGGTGGTTCAACGTGCGATGCGCCTTGTCGCCTGCACTGTACCCACTAAACGCTCGGCTCTACCGGCGACGGAGGAAGCAAAATAGACCGAAACCTCATAGGCTGATAGATAAGAAACTAGTTGATGAAATCTTTCTGTAAATATAGATTTAGTTGTTACCAGGTTTTTATTCTGTACAGGAATAAAATTTTGTGTAATAAGCTGATTGTCATAAACTACTAATTTACCAAGACTCCTTATTTTAGAGTAATAATAAGTATTCGATACAGACATAATTTAAATATACAATAAAAGTTTCTAGTTTAGAGTAAGTGGTGTGAAATAAAAGATAAACAAAAAAGGTATACCAACTAAGAAATTCTTTAGATCTTTTTAATTTTGGATTTTAACCACAATGGGTCCATGATTCTTAACTCCTTGTTCACTGACACTCAATGTGAAACAAAAAATAATAATTATAAAGTATTAAAATAGCTTTTCGTGCTGCAGCATATTGTTCTAAAGAGTCTTAAACAATGGCTATAATGTTCTCTGGCAACTAGACACTAGACTATAGTTCAAGACCAGCTAAAGATCGTGAGGTCGATTTGAAAACAATAATAAGTTCTGTTATCTTAATGTTATTGTATAATAAAATAAATACCTTGAATGTTATCTATACCATTACGGCTTCTGATCATATTTTATTTCAATTTGATTGTTTACCAATTTCATTGATCAGATTAAGCAACAAAGGAATAATTTATAAAAATACGGTCTATTATAAAATTTGCAAACGGGTAAAATAATTACTAGTTACTCACCTTTTCTTAAGTAGAACTTGAGAAGAATTTATTTCACTAAAAGAAAATTTTATGGAAATAATAGGTACCTGTAAAAGTTATATGTATGCACTTTTTACAATAATTTATTATGCTCCCAATTCGTCAGACAATTATATACAAAGCGTTGCCTACAGTGCCATGATGAAGTCACATAGGTACGGGAGCGAGCTGAAAGTTGTGTGCAATCTCGAGAGTATACGTTACAATTAATTATAATGATTAAGGACACAATTTTGAAGGAAATGTAACTACTTAAATTACTTGAAAACCTTTGTCTAATAATTAAGAAACATATAATCGTCTTTTGTAAGTAGCTGAACATAAAGTTTAAACACCATGAATCTGTCGAGCCCAGTCAAACAATACTCGACTACAGCTCGGCCATGCCTCTCGCAACAAATGCATGACCATAAAAAGATACATATACTTATTTGATTATTAATAGTCACTTTTGTAGATACTATGACACGGTAACAAGAATTATCCGTTTTCCTATACAAAGTAGGAGCCGTAACAAATGTAAATAAGATTATTGAAGTTGATGCCTAATAGTGATGTGCCCACTATGTGTGTGAACAAAGATTTGAATTCGTGTCCTCATACCTTACCTGCGGATCTGTAACGGATCTTTTTTTATTATTAAATTTTATTTTATTTATGAAATTTATTTAACTTAAATATTAAAATATCGAACGTAGGCAGCTATTACTATGATTAACATTTAAGTTACTATTCGGCTGTTTTATAACGAGATCTACTCCAAGTCTTCTTGGTAAGTGTATAAAAAAATAAAAGAAAAATGTCTAAACATAATAAGTTAATTTAGTACTCAACGACTACTCTCGTTTCAGGGTCACGATCAGTTTCACTGATAGAGAACTTGAGATTCGTATTCGGGAATCTAGACACTTAAAATTCGTTTTAGTGTATACGTATCCGCGAATATACATTTTTAACATTAGGCACATCACTAATACCTATTAATGTAATGATTTAATATTAACTACATATTAAGATATACCTGTTCTTTTTTAGTTTTAAAATGTTTAAATATATACAAAAAAATAGGATAATTTTTATGAGCATAACATGCCTTGGGAAGTGCAGTTCTATCAAGTTTTACATGGCATTACCTATTCCATTTCCCTGTGATAATAAATTATAGATTATGTCTGCCAGTAAAGAAAGTTAAAACAATAATTCATAGTGATTGTTTATAATAAGTTCTTTAATTGTATTGTAAGCCCTCTTTTGTGAGAAGAAGGTTTTTAAAATTTCTTATGCTTAAAGCTAGTTAGCAGACACGCGTTTAAAGTGATGAGAATTTGCATTGACTAATTAATTAATTAATTGACTAGTACTTCACTGTTTTTTAAACGATATCATTTCTGTAATGTTTTTGTTATTTAAAAAATAGTCTATTGGTGAATTGCTACGATTACTTTCGGTTTATACATTGCGGTTTATACATAAATTTTGAACACTTCAAACGTTATAAATAAATTTTAAGCTAGGGCATGGTTAAAAGGAATTGCAATATCTAATAAAAAATCAAGTTATAAAAGTTCTGTTCTAACTAACCTATTAAGCGTTTGTAGCTTATTTGTTCATTATCAAAGTAATATCAAATGTATCATCTCCATTATCAAATGTATCACATTCGAATACATAGAAACAGAACTACAAGTTGTAAAAGTACCAGTTGAACAATAAAATTACTGCCTAAGAATTAGTGGAACTTATTTAAATGTTAAGCATTGAGAATTATAGATACATAATATATGTAATTTGTAGTGTCCAATAGGGGATCCTCCTACCAGTTGAAGTGTTCATGCTTGGCACATCTCAACCCAACGGCGCGTGAAGTTGGGACTGCGGTTACAAGAATTATTGCACACTATAATATACGATCGGTTCAAACACTTTCATTGCGCGATACAGGATTGGCAGCAATCTTCGTAAGATGGTATCGAAGTATGATTTTGTAGTATGGCAATCAGTTGTAATTAATTACTCATTAAATATTCTTTATACCTTTAAATGTATGAAATCAATAAGTAAAGAAAGGTAGGTTAAAATAGTTGGTAATCCTGGGTAGGTAACGTCAGAAGTAAAAAATTGGGATGTCATTCTAATGTCAAAAATAATTAATAGTAACTAAAAAGTAGGTAATATTTTTTTATAAGTTGAAAAAGAAAAATAATTTATCTGTAAAAAAGCGTAGGGTGCTAGATCTCAATTGTAGTATTAAAAATATTTTACTGACAAATCCTGGGTTCATTGTTTTTTACGATTTACGTGAATGACATCGACTCCTGCTTCCAAAGTTCTAATCTGCTCTGTTGCTAAACACCGCTAAATGCTCAGTTGTCACGTTTGGTAGAAAACGTTCTCCAATACTAGCACCATACAAATTTAAGCGACAAGTATTACTAAGATCTGGAGGGGTGTGAGACCTTGGCGTTTACCATGATACGAAGCTACTGTTCGATGTGCATATTGAGCAAATTATAGCTAATGCTCTATAAATTCTCTACTGTACTTTTGTTAGGAGCCACCTGGAGTATGCCTCGTAAGTTTAGAACCATTGCTATCATAGGTACATTGATCGCATTGAGAACACACAGAAACGTCTTCTGAGGTTCTTGTGATTTTGTCTAAATATTCCTTGGATATAGCTCAAACAATTACATTGGTCTGTGCAGGCACTTTCATATGCACCCACATGTACTCGTAAATCGACGTCGATTGGCTGATTGTTCCTTTCTTTGGAAATTTATTTTTAATGAGATTGACTGTCCTAGCCTTTTGCAACAGTTAAAATTTAATGTCCCCTATAAGTCGATAAATTTAATCCACCCATTTCTATTCCATTTTTTTCCTCTAACTATGGACAAATTCATAAATTGCTCGAACCAACAGCGATTTCAATTAATTATGCAAGGAGTACTCTTTTGATCCCTTTAATACCAAAAGCAATGTTGTGCGCAGTATGCTACACCTTAATTATTTCCAATCGTAACATTTTTAGATCCATTGTTGTTTATTGTATAGGTGTAGTATCGTATTAGTTAGTGTTCCAGAACCTCTGTTAAATTACAATGATTCTATTCCTGAAAACCTGTAATTGGCTTGATGTAGTATGTCAATCTGACCATTATCATTTATGTAGTATACTGTCGGTTTTCCTAACTAAAGTAAATAAATATTGGTAAAAGTTTTTCCTTTGAAAGTAACAAGCAAGTTTATCACATATTTTTAGGTATCCATACCTAAAAATATCGACGATTAACGACTTTTTCCAAAAAGTCGTTAATCCTGAACATCCTGATCAGGACAATGAGACCAACTGTTTAAATTATGGTATTGTCATCGGTCCTTGATAAGTGTGCAAAGTTTCAATTTCATTTGACGTTTTGTAGTGGGTCAAAGATTCGAAGATTCCGTTACATACATACATACTCGTGGATTACATTAACAGCTTGTTATTATCTATTCATATTTTCAATTTTGAGAACTATATATAAAAATCACGAAAAAATTCAATAGTTGCCTTATTATTTGTAAATGCCTAGTACCTAAGTAGCAACTAATAGCTCAACAAAAACAGCATCTTAAAGATCATAAAGCGACATACTTTTATCGTATGTAGCGTACCATTAGGGATCCTTAATATACCTAGTTTAATACTATAAATCATAACTCAAAATGAGAAAAATAAATTAAAATTACTTATGTCGTATTACGTATGTACATATGTATTACGACATACGTAGCAAAAGACACTACCGTATTTTAAGGTATGGCAAAAGCTGTTAATCCTGAAGATCCTGATCAGGATAATCTCCCAAATTTATCAAATTATTGTGTTGTCATCGTTCCTTGATAAGTATCCGAGGTTTCAATTTAATTCGACGTTTCGAAGTGGGTCAAAAAGACGTTTGAAGATTCCGTTACATTCATACATACGCACATACATAAAAGCAAGCATTATCCTTCCGGTAGTTTTTGCAAGTTGCTGTATAGAACACGAACATACTTAGAAGAGTTATAGGGATTGGCAACAGTACACATACATTAAAAACTCTGGCACCAACTGGTGTTAATACAGTTTAATCTGTTCAAATATCATCAAGCTTCAGGTCAAGCTCCTTTAACGATAAAAGCTGTTCGTAAAGCTGGTGGAGGTATTATTTACAGAACACTCATTGTCCCAATATCTAATAGACACTTAATGCTTCACCAGAAGGCACGCTTGGAGACTACACGGCTGATATTTTTCAGCAAAGATGGTTTTGACAAACATACTCGGACGT